TGAAAATTACAGATTTTTAAGGCTCTTTATACAGGTAAACGTCTGAAGGGGTTGACATGTACAACTAACTTTTAGATATATTTTGGGAGTTGTCTACAAAGTGGAATAATTTCTGTAACAGGGAYCAGGACAGTAAATCTGACAACGCAAATAAAAATGAGAAGTTCTGTGTTTATTGACCAAAGTTATAAAGATTTAATTATGTAGTATTTGCAACATGACAGTTATTACAAGTATATTGATTAGAATGAACAGAAATACTGGCTTTTGATTGTTTATTACATAATGCACCAGATTATTACAACACCACATTGCCGCAAAATGTAATAAATTTATTACATAATGCGCTGAAGACTTTTATTACATTTTGCGTCAATTATTACATAATGCAGTTTTAGTGCGAGTTTATTATATTTTGAAGCCTGATTTTATTGCATTACTATTATTATTATATTGCGTTGTTATTACAAAATGCGGTCTTACAAACCTTTTCATATTTGGGAATCTCCCTGCCAAAAACAGAGCTCCAGTCCTGAGGATACTACAGGTGAACCTGATGGACAKTGACTTCGACTGTCTGATGTCACTCATGACCATCCATCAATCAGGAGACATGATTTGTGACAGACCAAACCAAATAATGACGCCCTTTTTCTGTCCCAGAGTCACGCCTGGCTACAGAGACTATGAATACCAACCAAACTAACAGACTTAATCTAAGCTAAAAGGAATTTCCCCTTTATAAATGTTACTTTAATGATTGTACCCAGTAGCAGCTTGTGAGCATATTTGYTTCCTAAATCAATACCAACACAAATGTTACAATTTGTGGCACATTTTCTTTGAAAAAGATTAGATTTAGGCTACGTTACTTTGAATCAGTTATTTGTGCACAAAGTTGTTGTCTTTTTTCTCCCTCCTAGTAGGTTGTGTCTTATAAAAAAAAATCCCAGTCTGAAATTAAATCCGACAAATGCCTCCTGCTCTCACCCGAACATATTTYGTATTTTAATTGTGAGTGAAATTAATTAGACAGGTAGCTGCACAACTTTCTGGATTAGATTTCAAAGTAAATTTTGAATGATAATTTTGCAAAAACTCTCCAGATTAACAAAGTTAAATGTGGGCAAGATGTCTTGTGAAGTAATTCTAAATATAAAAGTAAAAACAAACAA